TAAAAAAAGACATGTGAAAATAATTTTTTTAATTTTTTAATTTTCCGAAAAATTATGACAAAAAATAACAACTTCTAAAAAAACTCGCCATGCCTCTTATGAAGTACGTCGGACTGTCTACTCTGCTGAAAAAAGGGAAAATTGCATTTGAAACGGGGGATATCATTTTTCTGTACTATGTCAGCTAGGGCACGTTTTTCAACCACTTGCCGCGGCACACTAGTGTGCCGTGAGATATTGTCTGGTGTGCCGTGGGAAAAATTGCAATTTCATCCGTAACATGTGGCCTCGGCTCACAAATAGACCAATCATTAGAACAGAAATTAGACCTTTTAATCCGGGCTGTCAGTACTTCAGGATTGATCAATATTCAGCTAATCTATACCATAGTTTGTGAACTCTATAACTTTACACCTACAAACTAAAAAATACATTCCTAATTAATAATGGGGATGAATTAATATTTTCACCAAAGACATGTAGCAGATGAAATACATCTCGGCCTGAAAATTTGAATGAAGAACAATTATTTACTATTGAATTTACTATATGGGGGATTAATTACTATAGGATGAAAACAAAGAAAAACAAATGAATTTATGTGGGTTTTTTTTACTATAAAATTTTATGGTCTTTTTTGTTAATGGGGAGCAAAATGATAAAAACCCCAGTGGTGATTTAAATACCACCTAAAGAAAGCTCTAGTTGTGTGAAGAAAATGATAAAATTTTAGTTTGGGGGTACAGCGTTGGGATATACTATGGGGCGCATGGGATTGTACTATTCAAAATGGGGGATGAATTAGAGGGGATTAATTACTATTGGGGGAAAATATGGGGGATGAATTACTATGGGGATGACTATATGGGGATTAATTACTATGCTTACTATGAATATTACGGTATTGAAACGGTTAAGGATTATAAAATACTTTCTTTTCTTTTTCTGCTGTCCTGTAGATAGGTCAGCTATGGTGGGGGTGTAATATATCAGTGTGACTTGTATTAAAGTGACCGATCTGAATATATGCCTGGTGTCCTTGTAAGTCTTTCATATTCCAAGATATGAAATCATAGTGGAAAGTGAATTTTGAATGTGATGTCTGTTTTACGGCTTATCTGGAATGTCTTTGAAGCCCAGCGAGGGACTGGTTTATGGTTTTACGATTCTTTTCCAAGCAAGAGTCTCGCAGACATACGGGGGCCAGGCTAATTGGGTTTTATAGCCATGAAGCGCTCCCACTGTGCTTGCTGCCTGTGATCTCTGCATCATACAGACCACATGTCACTCAACAGAGAGAGAGGGGGGATATTGGAGAGAAGCTGATTTGGGAGTAGAAATGATACAAGATGGAGGATCCTTAGCAAGATAGATGACCGCGTCCATCTCTGTATGCACAATTGCTACACCCAGGAACTCTCCAGAGCCTCTCACATCATCTGGAACTCCCTCTCCAACCTGTATGGCTATCTCCCACTCTGTCTACCTTTAGGTGATCCCTGAAAGCTCATCTTTTCGTGAAAGCATATCCAACTTCCTCCAACAACTGCATTTTATATTCTTGAACAATTTACTAACCCCCCCCACCATGTTTTTACCTTTCCTATCACTTGCCCCTTGAATTGGAAGCAGGGCCTTCCTAACTCTCTTGTTTCGAATTGAAATTTAACTGTAATATCTCCCTTTACTTTGCTGATGGAGCAGAATAAATCTTGAATAATAATAATAATAATAGTACACCCTAGAGGTCTAAATGAGTAAATCATGTGGCTGCTATGGATGGAATTTCAGCCCCACCCTTCCCAAACACTTACACAAAATTGATTATGTGATGAAAAACAGACAGATGAAGCCAGTTCTTGTTCGAGGGCCCTGCTCCTTGGAGCTTACAATCTAGGAGGGAGGGAAGAAGAGTGGTACAGGAGGAAATAGCTGTGGGGGATGGAGTGGTGGGAAGAGCAGAGGAGATCGGCAATTAGTTAAGGGCAGGGTAGCATTCCCTAAAGAGATGGGTTTTCAGGGTGTGCCTAAAGGTGAGGAGGGTAGGTGACAGTCTGATGGATTGGGGTAGTGAGTTCCAGAGGATGGGGGAAGCCCTGGAGAAGTCCTGGAGATGGGGGGAGGAGGAGGAAACCAGAGAACTAGAGAGTAGGAGGTCTTGTGAGGAGCAGAGGGTGAGTTTTGGGTGGTAGATGGATATTAGGTCAGTGATGTAGTTTGGGGCAGTGTTATGAACAGCTTTGTACGTCAATCTTAATATTTTGAATTTTATGCGTTGGGCAATCGGAAGCCAGTGGAGGTATTGGCAGAGGGGGGTGGTGGATACGGTGCAGTTGGTAAGGTGGATGAGTCTGGCTGCAAAATTCAGGATAGACTGAAGGGGGGTAAGCCTGTGTTGGGGGTAGGCCGGCAAGGAGGGAGTTACAGTAGTCGAGTCGTGATATGATAAGGGAGTGAATGAGTTGCTTTGTAGTTTGTGGAGTTAGGAACGTGCGTATTTTGGAGATGTTGCGGAGGTGGAGTCTGCATGAATTTGTCAGCGATTGGATCTGGGGCTGGAAAAAACAGACAGAACCTTCGGGGATCCCAACAGAGAGGGGGAGTGAGGGGGAGGTGTCAGTGTTATAGGTAACACTGAAGGAGCGTTGTGATAGATAGGAAGAGAGCCAGGAGAGAGCAAAGTCTCTGAGGCCAAAAGAGTATAGTTTTTTGAGGAGGAGGGGGTGGTCGACCGTGTCGAAAGCCGCAGAGAGGTCGAGGAGTAGTAGCACTGAGTAGTGGCCATTGGCTTTGGCGGTTAGCAGGTCGTTGGTGAGTTTGAGTAGGGCGGGTTTCGGTGGAGTGTAGGGGATGGAAGCCAGATTGTAGGGGATCAAGGAGGTTGTTGTCGGTGAGGTGAGAGCTTAGGCGATTATAGGCTAAGCGCTCAAGGAGCTTGGATGAAAATGGCAGCAGGGAGATGGGTCTAAGTTTGTTTAGGTTGGCGGGATCCAGAGAGGGTTTTTTAAGTATGGGAGTGATGTGCGCGTGCTTCAGAGGGGAGGGGAATGTGCCAGTAGAGAGGGAAAGATTAAAGATGTGAGTGAGGGAGCGTAGGATGGAGGAAGAGGGTGATTGTCAGGGCTCCCAGGTATGACCAGAGGTGTGTGACTGAAGCAGGGAAACGCAGACCTCAGATATGTTATAAACAATATAATTTATTAACACTAACACAGTACAAACATAAACGCAGTGCAATACTAAAACATAATACAGTGCAAACAAACCCAACCCAACCAACCACCCACAGATAACAGTACATACAAGCAAGCGTCGTCAGGCAGGCCGGGTCAATATCAATTGGGCAGGTAGGTACAGGGGGAGTAAGCGGAGAATGGTCGGGGTCACAGGCCAGGTTCAGCAGGTAGCAAGCAGCATAGTACAGAGGGTCAGGCAGAGGGATGGTCCGGGTCACAAGCCAGGGATCAGAACAGGTAGCAAGCAGCGTAGTACAGAGGGTCAGACAGAGGGATGGTCAGGGTCACAAGCCAGGATCAGAGCAGGAGAAGTCAGCAAAGGAACAGAAACAGGATGCAGGACAGATACAGGGCCCAGGGACAAACACAACACCAAGGCAGAGTCTGCAAGTCTGGCCATCCCTTAAATACACCAGTATCATCAGTTCCAGGTGTTAGCTGGCTGAAAGGTTGAGTCTCTGATTGCTGGGAGCACCCGCTGGCCAGCCCTGGTACTGCAGATCAAAAGGCAGGTGAGTCCCACCATTGCTGGCCAGTCCATTCCTAACAGTACCCCCCCCTCAAGAGCGGCCTCAGGACGCTCCAAACAGTCCTAGCTGGGCAAAATGTTCCACCGCCCGGGTCTGGCAACTGGCGGGATATCAAAGACTGGCACACACCGAGCAGGACTCCGGGCAGCGGCACACCGGGCTGGACTCCGGGCAGAGGCACATCGAGCAGAGGCACACCGGGCAGAGGCACACCGGGCAGAGGCACATCGGGCAGGACTCCGGGCAGAGGCACACCGGGCAGAGGCCGGGCATCGGGCAGAGGCACATCGGGCAGAGGCACATCGGGCAGGCACATCGGGCAGGACTCCGGGCAGAGGAGGCACATCGGGCAAGGACACCGGGCAGAGGCACACCGGGCAGAGGCACATCGGGCAGGACTCCGGGCAGAGGCACATCGGGCAGGACTCCGGGCAGAGGCACATCGGGCAGGACTCCGGGCAGAGGCACATCGGGCAGGACTCCGGGCAGAGGCACATCGGGCAGGACTCCGGGCAGAGGCACATCGGATTACCAGGCGAAGCAGCAGGCAGCGGGCCACCAGGCGGAGCAGCAGGCACCGGGCCCCCGGGCGGATCGGCAGGCACCGGGCCCCCGGGCGGGGCGACAGGCACCGGGCCCCCGGGCGGGGCGACAGGCACCGGGCCCCCGGGCGGAGCAGCAGGCACCGGGCCCCCGGGCGGTGAGCAGGAGCAGCAGGCACCGGGCCCCCGGGCGGAGCAGCAGGCACCGGGCCCCCGGGCGGGGCGACAGGCACCGGGCCCCCGGGCGGGGCGACAGGCACCGGGCCCCGGGCGGGGCGACAGGCACCGGGCCCCCAGGCGGGGCGACAGGCACCGGGCCCCCCCCCAGGCGGGGCGACAGGCACCGGGCCCCCAGGCGGGGCGACAGGCACCCTGGGGCCCCCAGGAGGGGCGACAGGCACCGGGCCCCCAGGAGGGGCGACAGGCACCGTGCCCCCAGGCGGGGCGACAGGCACCGTGCCCCCAGGCGGGGGTGACAGGCATCGTGCCCCCAGGCGGAGCGGCGGGCGCCGGACCCCCAGGCGGAGCGACAGGTCTCAGGCCCTCAGGCGGAGCGGCGGGCGCCAGACCCCCAGGCGGAGCGACAGGTCTCGGGCCCTCAGGCGGAGCGGCGGGCGCCGGACCTTCAGATGGAGCAACAGGTCTCGGGCCCTCAGGCGGAGCGGCGGGCGCCGGACCCCCAGGTGGAGCGACAGGTCTCGGGCCCTCAGGCGGAGCGGCGGGGCGCCGGACCCCCAGGCGGAGCGACAGGTCTCGGGGCCCTCAGGCGGAGCGGCGGGCGCCGGACCCCCAGGCGGAGCGACAGGTCTCGGGCCCTCAGGCGGAGCGGCGGGCGCCGGACCCCCAGGAGGAGCGACAGGTCTCGGGCCCTCAGGCGGAGCGGCGGGCGCCGGACCCCCAGGAGGAGCGACAGGTCTCGGGCCCTCAGGCGGAGCGGCGGGCACCGGACCCCCAGATGGAGCGACAGGTCTCAGGCCCTCAGGCGGAGCGGCGGGCGCCGGACCCCCAGGTGGAGCGACAGGTCTCGGGCCCCCAGGCGGAGCGGCGGGCACCGAGTCACCAGGCACGACAGTGGGCTCCGAGTCAACTGGTATGACCGCAGGCACTGGGGTCAGACATTGTATGGTCTGGCTGGACAGCGGGCATCGGGTCACCAGGCATCAGGTCATTTTGGCTCGACAGCGGGCACCGCGTCATCTGGCAAGGCAGTGGGCTCCGAGTCAACTGGTATGACCGCGGGCACTGGGTCAGACATTGGATCGTCTGACCGGACAGCGGGCATCGGGTCACCAGGCATCAGGTCATTTGGCTCGACCAGCGGGCACCGCGTCATCTGGCAAGGCAGTGGGCTCCGAGTCAACTGGTATGACCGCGGGCACTGGGTCAGATATTGGATCGTCTGACTGGACAGCGGGCATCGGGTCACCAGGCATCAAGTCATTTGGCTCGACAGCGAGCACCGCGTCATCTGGCAAGGCAGTGGGCTCCGAGTCAACTGGCATGACCGCGGGCACTGGGGCAGACATTGAATCGTCTGGCTGGACAGCGGGCATCGGGTCACCAGGCATCAGGTCATTTGGCTCGACAGCGGGCACCGCGTCATCTGGCAAGGCAGTGGTCTCCGAGTCAACAGGCCCGACAGTGGGCACCGGGTCATCAGGTACCGGATTGTCTGGCTCGACAGCGGGCATCGGGTCATCAGGTATGACAGCGGACACTAGGTCACCAGGCATCGGGTCATTTGGCTTGCCAGCGGGCACCGCGTCATCTGGCAAGGCAGTGGGCACCAAGTCACCAGGTACGACAGCGGGCTCTGAGTCAATTGGCACGACAGCGGGCACCGGATCAGGTACCGGATCATCTGGATCAACAGCGGGCATCGAGTCAACTGGCCTAATAGGATCGTCAGGCTGGATCAGTTCATCATGCTGGGTAGAGGCATTAGGCCGAGTAGAGGCTTCAGGCCGAGTAGAGGCTTCAGGCCGAGTAGAGGCTTTAGGCTGAAAAGAGGCATCAGGCCGAGTACAGGCATCAGGCCGAGTACAGGCATCAGGCCGAGTACAGGCATCAGGCCGAGTAGAGGCTTCAGGCCGAGGAGAGGCTTCAGGCCGCGTAGAGGCTTCAGGCCGCGTAGAGGCTTCAGGCTGCGTACAGGCATCAGTCTGAACCACGGAAGGCAGGTTCACCGGTTTGGATACTGGCAGGATGGTACTGGTTGGAAAGAATTTTCGCTTTTTTTTTCTGGTTTTAACTACTGGAGCACTGCAAGTAAACGCAGGTCTGCAAACGAATGGAGCAGCTGGAGACAGAGAAGAACTGGAGGATGGAACAGGAGAGGGAGCAGTTGCTACAGAGGGCTTTTTTACAGGGTTAAAGGCAGGATAGGTGCAGCGAGTGGGAACAGGGTACTGACATGCGGTAGATAGCCAAGTATACTGGGCTGTAACTGGAGGAGCTGGTGGGAATACAGGAGTAGAGTTAGAAGCAGGACTGGGTCGTAAGCTGACTGAGGCTGGGTGCAACAAATCTGTCCATGTCTGCAGTAGGGGTTGAACAAAGCTGAGCTTACACAAAGCCTGTCTGGTCAATGACTGCACTGCGTTTATACAATCTCTTAGTGTCTGTGGTGAACATGTGGAATAACGCTCCAGAAAGTAACCCACATCATCCTCTAATAACCACACCAGGGACTCTACCTGGTCTGCACTAAATGGTGGGCAAAAATTCATCCCTGCATTCGGGGGAACCAGATGAAACCAACTCTGCACAAACCTCAATCAATGGCTGCACCTCAGAGAACACTGTGCCCTGATCTACTAGAACATGAGCGAGCCGTATACATTCTAGCAATTCATCCCGGGTATACTCCTTCAGAGTTTGATAAGCATACTCCCTGTCATCAAACACTAGCAGATATAAATACTCAACCTCATCAAGATCCATCCTTCCCATCAACAAGCCAAGATGGCTTCCCTGTGTCAGCCACTTCTGGTCAGGATTGGCCTTGGTGTGTAAATGTCAGGGCTCCCAGGTATGACCAGAGGTGTGTGACTGAAGCAGGGAAACGCAGACCTCAGATATGTTATAAACAATATAATTTATTAACACTAACAGTACAAACATAAACGCAGTGCAATACTAAAACATAATACAGTGCAAACAAACCCAACCAACCAACCACCCACAGATAACAGTACATACAAGCAAGCGTCGTCAGGCAGGCCGGGTCAATATCAATTGGGCAGGTAGGTACAGGGGGAGTAAGCGGAGAATGGTCGGGGTCACAGGCCAGGTTCAGCAGGTAGCAAGCAGCATAGTACAGAGGGTCAGGCAGAGGGATGGTCCGGGTCACAAGCCAGGGATCAGAACAGGTAGCAAGCAGCGTAGTACAGAGGGTCAGACAGAGGGATGGTCAGGGTCACAAGCCAGGATCAGAGCAGGAGAAGTCAGCAAAGGAACAGAAACAGGATGCAGGACAGATACAGGGCCCAGGACAAACACAACACCAAGGCAGAGTCTGCAAGTCTGGCCATCCCTTAAATACACCAGTATCATCAGTTCCAGGTGTTAGCTGGCTGAAAGGTTGAGTCTCTGATTGCTGGGAGCACCCGCTGGCCAGCCCTGGTACTGCAGATCAAAAGGCAGGTGAGTCCCACCATTGCTGGCCAGTCCATTCCTAACAGTAGGAGTTGTGTGGGGACAGGGTCAAGGGGGCAGATGGTAAGGCGAGCTTCAGAGAAGACCTTAGTGACCTCTTCAGTGGTAGCAGGATCAAAGGAGTGGAGTGTTGAGGGGGTTTTAGTGTGAGGAATGTTGGGCGTGGTGGAGGTCTGGACAGTGGCGAGGTCGAAGGAGAGGAGTGTTGAGGGGGTTTTCGTGTGAGGGATGCTAGGTGGGGCGGAAGTCTGAGCAGTGGTGATGTCCCTGCGAATTGCGTCGATCTTGCTTTGGAAGTGGTTAGCAATCTCATGGGCCGTGAGTGAGGTACTGGGTGGAGGTGGGGATGGAGAGAGCAGAGAGTTGAAAGTGGAGAAGAGCGGGAGAGGGCTGGAGGAGAGGGTATTGATGAGGGTTACAAAGTAGGCTTGCTTGGCAGCGTGGAGGGAGTGAGTGTAGGTGAGTTAGGCGGATTTATATCGGGGTGAACGCTTGTTGGGATCTGGTTTTGTGCAATAGTCACTCTAGAGCACGACTGCATCGCTTGAGATTTTTGGTGTGGTCATTCTGCCAGGGTTGAAGCGGTCGGGGTCTAATGTTTTGTGTGGTTAGGGGTGCTAAGGAGTCAAGAGCGGCTGACAGCGAGTTGTTATAAACAGTAGTGGCCAGGTCAGGGCAGGACAGGGGAAGGATACTGTCTTAAAGTTGGTCAGCTGCAGAGTGGAAGGGGGCAGGGTTCAGGTTGCGGAGGTTTTGGCTGGTAATGGTTTGACGTTTGGAGGGGTAAGTGTAAGAGGATGAGGAAACGGAGAAGGTGATGAGGTTGTGGTCAGAGAGGGGAAAAGTGGTGTTAGTGAGGTTGTGGGGGGTGTAGAGATGAGAGAAAATAAGGTCCAGGGTGTTCCCGTCAGAGTGGGTGGAAGACTGTATGCACTGTGTGAGTGCAAAAAAGAGGTTAGGGTAGAGAGTTGGGATGTGGCCAGGTTATTGATGTTGATAGGGATGTTGAAGTCTCCAAGGATGATGGGGGGCAGCTCGGAGGAGAGAAAGAATGGTAACCAGGCGGAGAAGTCGCCTAGGAAGCGGGATACGGGTCCAGGAGGCCAATAGATTACTGCGATCCTCAGGGGGATTGGAGAGAATAGTCGGATGCAGTGGGCCTCAAAGGAGGAGAAGGATAGAGAAGGAGGATTTGGGAGGACTTGGAAGGTGCTCTGCGGTGAGAGGAGCATACCAACCCCACCACCTTTTCGACCGCTGGGTCTGGAAGAGTGGGTCCAAGTAAGACCTCCATAGGAGAGTGCCACAGGGGAGGTAGAATCGGTGGTTTGGATCCAGGTTTCGGTGATCACCAGGAGGTTGAGGGAGCGGGAGACAAGGAGGTCGTGGATGGTGGTAAGTTTGTTGCAAACCGGCGTTCAGGAGTGCACACGAAAACGGAGGGGTGGTTTTGGGGAGCGGGGAACCGGTATTAGGTTGAGGGGGTTGCGGCAGTTCGTGGAAGTAGGTGGGTGCCTTGTGGGTGAGTGAGGTGGAGGAGGACCAGGGTTTGTGGAGATGTCCCCCGCGGTTAGGAGGAGAAGAAGGGTAAGAAAAGTGGCATGGGAGCGGGATGTACAAGAGCGTGTGATTCTACCATAGGTGGCATTCGGGTCAGTGGGAGAATGGGGTAACAGGAGGAGGTGGTGAGAGCCGTGGAGGGGAGATTGAAGCAGTGAGGGCGCGATGTGTAGTTGTTTGGGAGGAGCAGGGGGAAAGAGAGAAGAGATTTTGGGGACGGAGGAGAAGAGTATGAGGAGGAGGAGAACAGGTGGCATTTTAGGGAGGTAAGCGGAGTGGCGGACAAGTGAGGTGGAAAATCTCTCAGGGCGCTTGGTTGTAGATAGTCAGCGCGCAGTGGCGTATCTCGTAGTTGTAACTTTCTGTGACAAGAGTTCTCGTGCTTAGGATCAGGATGGGTAGAGTTCAGTTCGGTCAGTTGTGGTCAAGGGTAGTCAAGTTGCAAGTTCCAGATTGTGTCAGACCCAGGTGGAGGGGTGAGGTTTGGCTTGAGGAGATGCGGGGTGGACGTTAGCAGTGGAAGTATTTCCGGGGGTCATCGGATGGGCTTCGGGTCAGGGCAGGGTTGCACCAGGGTAGGCGATGGTAGGCCTCGCCAGGTCGAGATCATCCGTTGGGCTTGAGGAGATGCGGGGTGGACATCGGATGGGCTTCGGGTCAGGGCAGGGTTGTGCCGGGGTAGGTGATGGTAGGCCTCACCAGGTCAAGATCATCCATTGGGCTTGAGGAGAGGCGGGGTGGACGTCAGCCCAGTGGAGGTGTTTCCGGGGGTCATCGGATGGGCTTTGGGTCAGGGCAGGGTTATGCCGGGGTAGGCGATGGTAGGCCTCACCAGGTCGAGATCGTCTGTTGGGCTCAGCAGGTCCGAGTTGCGTCATGGAGGGCGATGATAGGCCTCACCAGGCTGCGGACGTCTGTAGGGTTCGGCGGCGTGGAAGTAGGCTTGCTTCTGGTCCCTCTGTCGGTATTGGAGCGGCAGGAGACCGGTGGGTGGCCGGATTGTTTGCTGTAGGCCGCGTGCTTGAGCAGTGTAGGCTGCGGCGGGCCCTGATGGGTCTGGCGCTCCAGTGGGCTGTTGGAGGCCCAGGAGGCTTATGGGGCCTTATAGTGGCCTCCTACCTGCTGCTGTGTGGGCGGTGGTGGTTTGTGCTAGGCCAGTGGTGGCCAGGGCCCGGCGGCTTGCGGTGTCCTAGGCCGCGCGGGAGGCCCCACCCCGCCTGGCCGGGTGTTGTAGTATCAGAGCTCCGGGCTGCGCAATGGGGGCTAGGCGGCACCGCTCCCCCCTCCATTATTATAACTAAAGTCAAAAGCAGCAGGGCACGCCCTGAGAAGGGAGGTCGGTGGCAGTTTGTTCTGATGAGGATATATATATTTATTACAGTCCTTTCATATTCGGGTCTGATATAAGATATATAATTTTTCATGTTTAGCAGTATTTGCAGTAGTACAGCAATATGCAATTAATAATTGAAGACATCAGTACTTTTACACTATATGAAATAGTACTGGTAATTTGAAACAGCGTTTTGTAATGCAGATTTCAGGGCACTTAGGAAAAGAGATTATCCTAAATCTTT